CTTTTGAGTTGCCGTACTGACATAAATGAACATTTGCACGATATTCTAATTTTTCGAGTTTTACCTGTATATAAGAACATATATATTAGATACAGATATATACATTTACACACGCGCACATACATATACATGAAATATATAACACATGCATATTATTTTAGATGGTATGTTAATAATGATGAACAGATATCTAAGATACAGAAATTAGAATAAACTGATAGGTAAGTAGGGAAGTTTTACCAAGGGAGACAAAAATCTGCAGTCAAGCTTTACTTAGGTGTAAAAGAAGAACTAAATCAATGCTTTTTTGCTGGTATTAGATGAACATTTTAGTTAAAAAATTTGATGAGTGGAATAGACTTGTACTATTTTTTTCCTTTTGACAGCTTCTTTAAAGAATAAGAATATTTAACCAGGTAGATCTTTTTTATTAATAGAACACGTTATCAAAAGAATAAAATTCAGCACACTGGCATATCTTACAAGTTTTAAAGACTTTTGCTGTTCTGTAACCTTGGTATTCTACATCAGTGCTTATTGTAGTTGCCATAGGTTTTTGGAAAATGTCTGTGTTCAGCTTGGCTAAGCTAAAAAAGGCTTTTAGTTTTTGCTATACTTTGCAGTACAGAGCTACAGTGACTGAATTAGTATAGCAACTCGGCTTTAATAATTTTATTTTGAGAATTTTTTACTTTGATAAATACTGTAGTATATGTTGTGTCTTTTGTAGCTGTGCAGTTACAAGAGTAGTTTCAACAGTGAATTATCATTTACCTGGTGGTGTTGTCTATCAGCTCAGCTAATTTCTGGAATAAATCAATTATACTAGAAAGGAATATAAAAGAGACTATTTTCATAGTGCTGATTAATGGGTATTGGAAAGGCACAATATGCTTTCTTTTGTCTTTGGACTTTAAAAAAAAAAAAAAAAGGAAATGAGCAATCTAGTCCAGAACTTTGAGATATCTAATGGGAACTGTATCTGGTCACTAATGTTGACGGTGGCTGGAATCCAAAGAGCTACTTAAGGCATGCCTAAGGGCTAGGGAATGTTGAGACTATTTTTTTGTTTTTAGTAGCTGACCTCTACTGTGTTTAATCTAAAACTTTTAAAAAAAAATCTCTTTCAGGAGGGTTGTGCCACATGGTATGTAGGGCAGAAGAGTATAGCTTCCTCAAAAGCATAAAGCCCTATGGTTCTTGAGATTCCAAACCACTCTTTTATATTCTTAGCTTTAAGGTATAATGCACAAAATATAATGCAATCATATCTGCTTATGTTTTAATTTGCTGACAATTTATTTTACTTTGTTCATCACAAAGGTCAGGTTGTAGCTAGCTAGCTAGCTATTTATTTATTTAGTTTATATAGCCACCTATCTCATAGATGTGACTCTGGGTGGCTTACAAACAATTAAAACAAATATTAACAATTTAATATTTAGTAAAATATTTTTTAAAAAAACAAACAATGCAATGATTTAAAAAACAAAAATAAAATAAAAGCATATAAAAACCATCATTAAAAA